TGCTCGGTCATGTCCGTTTTAGAGCACTGCAATACAGTAACTATCCTTGGTGGCGTTCCCGTCGCATTTTATTTCGGTACTTATTTTATACAAATAAAAAAATTTAAAAAAAAAAAAAAACTATTTTAATTTAACTCTAATTTACGCCCAGGACGTCTGTCGAAAGGGGAACACTTCGATGAATTCATTTTAAAACAGAAAAAAATATCTTTGGGTTATTATGGTGTACAATAATTTAGCCTACAGACAAAATTAGCGATTATTTCTCTGTCGTCGTTCGTAATTGATATTTGATTATAATTCAGTTATAATTATTTTATTAATTGCATCAGACAATAGATGTAGCGACAAGATTCGTTGCGGTTATCATTATCGAAAATGTCTGTAATGATGAATGATTGTACAAATAATACCTTATTTGGTCGTACAGTTGACACTTGACAGTGGTGTACGATGTACGACGTACATTTATTAGTGTTCATTTGTCATCCACTTCATTTCTGCGATTTAATAGTCACGTTAAAGTTTATTTAACATTGATATCACATCGATATCCTGACACATTATCAATTACACGTCCTGAATATTGCCTATTTGCGTTGTTATATTACTGTTGGTAATATTTCGTCGTAGTATTAGGACATGGGTAGTACTGCAAAACATAAACATTTTGTTTTTCATAAATCTATATAAAAAAAAAAAAAACAAATGCAATTGATTATTTGGTGAGACTGGATACAAAGATCCAGGGCGCTAATATTTGTAGCGTCAACCCTGGTTGAGCATATATTTATGTACTGTAGAAACTCAAGTGTTCCGTTGAATTTCATTCATATTTAACATTTACAATTAATTGTAATTTACAATTAAGAATCGTGTTTATTGATAAAAAAAACCATTTTTATGGTTAATGCAACACATCGTTCAGATATAGGCCTGACAATAAGGCTTATTAACCTTTTACCTCGCTCTTTAAAGGACGCATCAATGTTGACATGCATAATTATCGAACTCCGCTGCGAGTAAAACACAAATTATTTGATTCGAACGATAACGGAATCTTCGGACGATGTGTTCAAATAGTTTGCATTAACCTCTGTCAGAGGACGTTTGTTTTTTGTTTCACTTTGACAATAATTATGCGATTATCTTAACGTTGAATGTTCCAGATACATTTTCTTAGCATAAAAAGCACCTAATTTGAAACTTCAATATTCAGAGATTGGGAGGTGCATAGAAAATTAGATTTAACTTTTTTGAAAAACAACAATATTATATTCGAGCATATGAACATAAAAAATGTCTTGTTTGATATTTATTTTTACTGATAGGAAATCGAACGACTGTGGATATTGGTCATAATCAGGACTCGGGACTTATAGCACTTAAAATCATTAAAATTAAAAAAGCGCTTAAAACATCATTATAAGCACTAAAATAAGGATTTAAAAAAATTTAAATGAAGCAAAAATTTTTATTTAAAAAAAAAAAAAAAAAAAACTATAAAATTCTAACAACAAAATAAAACAAAATAAAAATAAATCTTCACTTTCAAGACTTTAAAGATTTTATGGATTTTCCAAGAAATTTTTCTGAAAAATAAAATGTAAACTGTTCTTTCTGTTCTTGATCATTCTAACGTTTGGCACTCAGTTCTATTTTCAGCATTGGAATATCTTTGTTAACCCTACAACGATGCCTTGGACGGTGATGAATGACGTGACAACGTAGATAAGATGAGAATTATTTTTAATTTTAATTCTATCAATAACGAATTTGCAAGAAAATACTATAAAAACGTAAAAGAAACTGGTCAAATAAGCAAAAATAATCAGAAAAATTGGAAATAAGCATTTTTTTTGAAAAATTGCAGAAAAAAGCAAAAAAAGGCACTTTCAAATTTCATAATTATACGTGTTATAACTCGACATACATTTTTATAGCACTCTGCTTCATTTTAAGTCAATTTATTAAAATAAGCAAATGCTTTAACTCCCGAGACCTGGTCATAACTATTAAACTCAGAGAACCTTAACTTTTTGTGTATAATTATGACTGATAATTTGTAACGGGAATATTTACCAAAATATTAATTTTGGAAAATGTACCTTAATGATTATTCATTAAATTTCATAATTAGTTGTTCTAATTATATTTTTCGGGTCGCATTGATTGTACCTCTACTCGTATATAATATGCAAATTGTGTAAAACACAAATTTATATTGTAAATATTTCATCTTAATAAATATAGGGAACCTGTACTACGTAAATTTTTTTTTTAAATTATGTGATTTTAAATGATTTATCGTTCACGTGTTTGGTTTTTTTTTTTGATTTTTTTCAAAATGATTGCGTTATAGAAGACCATAAAATATTGAATTATACCAACCAATTTGATATGTGGTTCTTTCGATGGTCCGTTATTGGTGAACTTTCCAGTAGAACGATCCTTTATTGTCCTCGTCTAATAAACAGTATATTTTTCATTGGCATTTTCATTAAGCTAAATTCATTGATCGCACATAAATACACATATTTATATGTATATGCGCACTTTATACAGACCTAGGACTCAACAAGAAATGTGTGCTCATTCGGCATGAATTTGAGTAGGGAAGTATGTTTCGATGCGTCCCGTGCTCTTCAGATTTGCATACGTACTCGTATTAAACCGGTAAAGATAACCGCGTTTACTTAATGGTGGTATGGGTACACGTGAACTGTTTTATACCGCAGTAAATTGGATACTCCTGGACGCAGTTCATCAAATTCGACGACACGCGATTTTTAAGCGAATATATAATTATGCATACATAATTATATGTACGGATAAATAGGTATATAAATATATCAGCATGTAAATACGTATAGAAGGTATTTCACGAGGATTTACAACGAATCATTATGTAATCCCATAATACTACGGTTCAATACTAGGGCGTGTTGAGCTATTTTTTTTTTTTTTTTAATTGTGTTTTGTGATAGCTCGTGTAGAAATTTTAAAATTTTAAAAGAATTTTTTACCTTAAACAAATGCAAAAACTTCTTTATCGACAAATATCCTATCGATTTCACGTTTATGCATGTACGAACACGGAAAACGGCGGTGGTAAAAATCGCACGGTCCACCGCCTATCGTCTAGCCCCTTGCGTACAGCTATACCTCAAACTTTTATCATCCCTTGTGGATTGATATGCCCACGGTACACTGTTTGTTCTTGGATTTAAAAAGTATGTACTTCCGCACATAGGGGAACGGTTAATCGGTGTTCTTCGGTAATACGTATCGTTTACCGGTCGGTCGTTAGCGATATAATTCATTAAGTCATATATTTGTCATTTATTCACGTAACGATGCGACTTCCCGTGCGAAGTGTAAACTACTCGCCGGCCACTTCGTGAAAATACTGGAAACACTGATTGCCACTCGTGTAGCGCTTTGGGTGAGAGGATTTTTTTTTTTTCTTTTCACTTCTTTCACGTTGTCCGAACAGTTTAACGTCATAGAATACGGCATTTAGCCGCCTCGGCTGCGGTGCACGAATTTCCATTAAAATCCCATTACTCCGGGGGTCCACGCCGGAGAGTGTAGCCAATTCCCGGGCGGCATGTCACACTCCTCTCCCGTGCCGTCGTCGGATCGCGCGCGCACACCCGTAACGCCTCTCTCCGGAAATCACACGTGCATACACACCTAACGCCGATTGCCTCTGCGTTTTCCTTCCCGCACCTATCTAAAGGATGTTGCTCGTTATCGGGAAACCTCTCTTCGGCCCTGTTTACCGCGAGCGGTCGGACCGCTTTTTACGGTTTACGAGCACAACGTTGTAACAACGTATTCACCGCGGAACGATAACACGGGTCAGGGTAATCGGGCGTGGACGCGAGTAGTGTTTGGATTTTCAAACGGCCACGGAACACGCGAATCGAAACGAAACAGCAGTGAAACATCACTAAGAGTGCACGGTTCCTGAGAAAATGCCGGACGGCTACAGCGATGCGTCCGAGTGTAGCTGCCAGCTTTCGGATACGTTAATATACAACGATTGTTGGACGAATAATATGATGATTACGTGGGATCCCGACGCGCATATCTACAATTAGACCTGACGGGTCGAATCCATAGAACACTTTTACTTTGCGTTTATCGCTCGTACGACTGTTGTCAGTGGCGTGTTTTCGAATTTTTTTGCTTAAAGTCTCTCTAAAAGATAAGCGATTTCATAATAAAATAGAAAAGGCGTACGAGTAATCGTTAATGTTCTTTTATCATCGAACAGAGTGTTGTTTTGCAACCGCGTGATGTAAATTAAAATGTTTTTTCTCGGTCGTTTACGACTCGAACATTTTTCTCAACTGTGGCGGGGCAAGGGGGGAGGGTCGAGACCTGAGAACGTTTCCGAAAAACACTCTGCTGACCATCATGTTCATATCATTCGCCGAACACGTCGGTCTACACGTCCAACGGATTACGATGTATTTCATACCCCGTTATTGTAGTCGTGATTGTCGCGTGGAGATGACGTAGAAGGAAGAGGAAGGCCAAGGATTGGAATATATGAAACAAATCATGATTGACGTGGGAAAGGATGGTTACAAGGAACTAAAAGAATTGAGTTACAATAGGGAAGCACATGGGAGAGTTGCAGCAAACCAGTCAAACGATTGAAGGCGCAGAGAATAAGAATGAATTGTCGTCGAGCGAAAAGGGTGTCGTCGTCGGTCGTGTGCGAAACAAACGTCGCCGCTGCCGCCGCTGTCGGCGACAGACACGCGAGGCCACGCGCACCGGTACATACGTTACGGCAGCACCGTTGACGGGA